TAGCAACTTTTCCAAGTTGAGTTGAAAGTTTGTTGATTAATAGATCTATGTTCAGTCCATTGATCAAAGTGGTTTTTTTTTTTTTAAGGTTAGGACTTTTGTTAGTTTTTTAGAGTTAGTTTTTTTTTTTTATGAGTTGGTAGTAGTATGACACTTGTTAAATAGTGAACGCTTAGGTTCTTAGGCATTTTCAAGTTTCTGAATCTTAATATTTTCAAGTTCTTGAGCAATGAAATGTTTTTTTTTTTTTTTTACTAGTGTTTTATGTTTAGAATTACTTCTTGTACATATAAGCATTGAACAGTAAATGCTTTTAGGTTCTTTTGGCTTTGATTCTTTTCTGTTTTTTTTTTTTTTTTTTTTTTTTTTTTTTCACAGTAGTATTTTTATAAAAGTTTAAATAACGGTGTTAATTAAGTTTAAGTGAACCTTCTACTAATTCTTCTAGTATAGTTAGTTCTAATGTAAAAAATATTTCAAATACAGGCATACATACATATGTACAAGAAAAAAATTTTTTATCAGCTACAGTATAATGAAAGTTGGTTTTTATTAGCTAAATAACAAAACTTGATTGGTTAAAACTAAAGATTAACCTCTTATGGTTTTTTTGTAAAACTAATTGACTGATTAATATCTAACACTTTTAAAAAAACTGTAGATTTTTATTAGCTATTTCATTTTAAAATGCCAAAAATTTAATGTAATTTCTTTGTATTATATACTGGCATTGTCAGAATCGCTTCTAGTAAAAGTTGGTGGCAAAATTGATCTTACTTAATCTCAAACGTTTTTATAAAAGCTATATTTCTAAAAAACAATTTGGCGAAATTTTAAATAACCTTAATTATAAAAAATTTAGGCTTGTATTCGAATTAAATTTTCTATTGTAAACCCATATAAAAAGTTCGTGTAACAGTACTTTTCAATAGAAATAAACAACCAATAAAAACCATCGGAAATTACAGGAATGGCATCGCATGTCACGTGATACGATCTGCATGATCAAGTCATGCGGATCTCACCATAATCTAATTTCACCATAATCCGCGACAATAAATAAGTAGTATTTTTACTATGTTGTATTATAAAATCGGAAAAATAAGTTCTTTCAATAAATTATAAAACCAAAACTTATTTTACAGCTGTTTTCATAAATTCTGGGACATCTGAAAAAAATTGCTCTTTCCCGAAATCTCCTGATCCTGTCTTAAGAATCGTCCAATTTTCGGAAACTACGTCAAAGTTCTGAGAACAGCGACATAGTTTCCGAAAAGTTAGGTGATTCTCAGAATTGAGGACAGAATTTAAAAAAGAAAAGTGCTTTTACGTGTATAAAAAAAACTTTTACTAAACTATACTACTAAACTTTATTACAATATTTTGAAATTACAAAATAATGTTTTTTATTTTAAATTAATATATATATAGTCAATTCTTAGGAAAATAACTTCAAGGAGCTCAGCCTGCAATATAATTTAACCGAACGACTACTTAAAGTTGATTGGTTGTTAACGTCAATATTTAGACTCAGATGTGGGCGGGATGATTTCTCATAAATTTTATCGGTTGTCTCAAAATTTATGAGAACTGTTGTAACCAACTAATTGAACTTACAGCTTTTTCGAACCCCATCCTGTCTTAAGAATCACCTAACTTTTCGGAAATTACGTCACTGTCCTCGGATCGAAGTTCTGAGAACAGTCCGAAAAGTTAGGTTATTCTTAAGACAGGATCGAGGAGGTTTCGGGAAAGAGAAAGTAATTTTTTCAGGTAGTGATCGTACCCGGTTAACTTTTTACTCGAAAAGGTTATAACCTTTAATAAGATCTAATAACCGGTTTTATATCTTATTGAAGTAAGAGGATAACGGTTATATCCGGATATAATCTAAGGTTAGTTGATATTGATATTGATTATTGGATTTTTAATTTATTTATCAAGGGTTGTTCTCAAACAGCTCCCTCAATGTGATTGCTAGTGATCGAGATGTTGCTCAATCATTTCGATTAGTTGAGGTGACCTTTATAATAAATTTATTGTACGAAATGCGGATTTTAAATTAAAAAAAAAAAAAGATACGGTAGTTGCCAGGGTTCGGGTTTTTTTTACTATCGCGATCTATTTTTTTAGTCATTGGATCATTCAATGAACCATAGATAGAGGTGCTTGAGAACAACCTTGTGACCAAAATTTTAATTAAAGATAAACTAAGTGAGTTATTATTTCGTTAAATCAAACATGAAGGAGCAACCCATCTTTATTTTTCATAGATATTTTAATGCTAAATTTTAAAAATCCACATTTCGCACAACGAATTTTAGCATATCGTTATATCAGCATTTTATCAAAAAATTATAGACGAAAGTATTCTAAGCATATCAATATATATAATTAATTCAATTATATTATCTTATATTATCTTTTAAGTTAACCGGATATCTTAAATATTTATCTGTTAAGATTAATCAATTTTATAATTCGGTCTAAACAGTTAACCGGTTACAATACCTTAGGGTACAATCACTATTTTCAGGTATCCCAGAATTTATGAAAACAGCTGTAAACGGTCTTATAATAGATTAAAAATTTAAAGTTCGATTTAACAGGTTTTGATAAGCGTCCGATTTATCAGCTTTGGTTAGAGAGTTGATTTTTTTTTTTTTTTTATTAAGAAAAATTTTAAAATAGAAAGAAATTTAAAATTTATTGGTTAAAAGATTCTAATTACATATCGCAATAAATCATCTCTTAACAATTTTCTTTGCTATATACGTCTTAATTATGGGATCAATTTGCAGGGTTTTCTCTTAACATCACACATCGATCGATATACTAAACTATAAAAAATTTAAATTTGTATTATTATTTTTTTTTTTGCGCAAACCATCTATGTGTAGCTGAAGATACTTTATTTATCTCAAACCCTTGAGCAACAACTTCGCATATGTCATCATGTACTTCATTTGAAATGTTTAAAGTTGATGTCATTATAAGGGCAAAATTTTGAAATGTTTTAATATGTAACTTTGACATCTATTTCGTCAAATATATAAAAAATAAATATTCATGGAAAATTATTTTAAAAAAAAAATAATTTTTTTTTAGATCACGAACCAGTTCACCAAGCTTTCCTCCCCATTTACCTATCGGGATTGAAACTTTTTTATGATGGATAGTTGATAATTCTGGTATAGTTTGAAGAAATGGAGGAATAATTGGGGACGGATGCGGATTCCCCTTCTTTGCTTCAATGGCAGCAAAAACTAATAGATAATAAAAATAAGTATGAATATATTCTAAACTCAAATATTTTCTAATATTATTTACACATACTCGCATTCAAAATTTGTAACCCAAAATGATCAATTTCTTCATATTCAATGTCATCTTCAAAAAATTCAATCCACCCTCCTGGCTTTGTCACTCTTACCATTTCTCGAGCTGCTCCTTTCCATTGCTCATCAGTCACGTATTTTGAAAAAAGACGTTGAAAAACGAAATCAAACGTGTTATCAGGAAAAGGGATGCCATCATTGACATTGCATTGTAAAAATGCAACGTTTGAAGGTGTCTCTGAAATATCAGGAAATAATGGAGAAACGTCTAAACCGATAAAAGTAGAATTTGGGTAGTCACGACTCATTTCAAGAATCCATTTTCCGGTTCCGCAACTTTTGCGATATTAGAGTATTCAAATTATTATTAGATTAAAATATAAAAAGAATAATGAGGCGGAATCAGTGTTTAAAATTAGTAAGCGAAACTTGCGGGCCGCAACCGATTCCAGCATATAAAATTTTACAAAATTTTATATTTATTTTGGTTATCCGCAACTTCCGCAACTAATCCCGCGACAAAAATTTAAAATTGAATTTTAGATACTAGGTGGAATACATTAAATTAAAATTTACCCGACATCCAATACTCTTGCCTTTCCTTTGGCCAATCGTTCTTGCACTGGAGATGAATGGTTTCCTTGCCATGCGTATCTTAACAAAGCATGTTGAAAATTCAATCTATCCGCTATTTATATATGTATAAAAAAATATATTTGTGTAATATGAAAATATCTTCACGAAACAGTTTTAAGTTATAATATAGGATACTTTACCTTCATCCCCATCATTTGGCAGCAAGTAGCTTACCTCAGTATTATTATGATATCTTCGACCATTTATATACCGAAATGAATCCAATAATGTGTCGTTACAGGTGTCGTTTTCGGGTGGGTTAT